TTACTTTTTTTTTTACATTTTCTTTATTTTTTCTGAACTGAACAAAATCCAAAAATTGAATAATCAAAAAAACATTCCCAACAAAAAAGAAAACTTGACATTCCAAAAAAAATAAAACCAACGCCTACTTGTTTTCCTACAAACTTCACTTGTGATAACTGCTTTACAAACAAAGATTTTGAAGTAGGATGATGTGCTTTCGATATTTGAAGCATAATAGCGAAAAAATTCTGATCGTAAATCGTTTGATATTCAAACTGAATTAGGTAGTCAAGGTTGAAATCATGTCGATTATTCGACAATCGATTATTATATACAGTATTTAGTCGTAGAGTGAACAACTGCTTCGAACTCAGCACAGCTCATTAGCTGACCAGCGGGTGTGCAAACCGCCCTCCGCAACTCCCTTTATTCTGCGATGCGTTTTTCACATATAATAAGTAAATATGCCTCAAACATATTAAGTATTCAACCGTCGCTTTTAAAACATAATTCACCTTTACTTATAAGAAGAATCTCAAAACTTCATCCTCCATTTCATATGCTACGCTTCATATATTTGACACATGTCACACACTGAAGTTTCATTACGGGATTATGCGATACGTACAAGTGTGTCTGCATAAATATATATAAATAATTGGGAATTGTTAAAGTTAATGAAAATTTATTCATTAAAATTTACTTTGTTGCCTATAAAGACCGCAGTTACGCAGCTTTCGTGGCCATACTAAAGTATCACTTTGCCTAGAATGATCGGAAACTGGTTCTCGGCGCTCTTCAAAATATGTTCCTCGAAAGACAAAGGAAAAAGTTTGACGAGTAAATGCTTCCACAATAAAAGAATGCAAACTGCTCTCTAAAAATCAGTCCCAACACAATCCAAGCAATAGCCGTCGGACGCTAAGAATGGACTAGAACTTAAGTTCACCATTTCTCAAATTAATAAAATTAAATAATATTGGAATGACGCTTACACTATAATTTATAATGGCTTTAAACCAAATTTCAAAACGTTTTGAAAAGCACAGAACCTAACACATGTGGTTCTTTCAGTGTTTTTGCTTCGTATTATTTGTTAATTTATTCCTTTTATTACAATTAGGCTTAAGTCGACTATAGATGCTTTAGTCACGATATTGGTATAAGTTATAAATACATATATCAATGATTATTTTTCTATTAATTGTTAGGAACCCAAACTATTTAGATAATTCCCGATAAGCGTGATTTTCGAAAAGACAATTTCCTTCATATTTTTTTTTTTAAGTTGAAAACCCAAAACTTGGTTCACGACCGTAGATCAGTTTTGAAAATAAGCGTAATCTGCTTAGAACTATTTCTACTTTAATCAAGGAACTCAGTGCAGGCAAACGATTGATGAAAACGATTTCCCGCTTATGATATTGTAACGAGTCTTCTTGGGCAGAGTATACTCTGCCAATCCGTGACTCTTTCCAAGAAAATTTATAGTATAAAAATAACTTGGACCGTCGGTTTTGTTCTTATATTTCTATTTATTTATTTCTTAATAGAGTACAATGATCGGCGATTTTAAGAGGCGTAAAAGAAAAAAACCAGAGTGGTGACCCGACTCTTCTTTAGCGTTTTACTACTTCTTATTTGTTCCCGATTATTATTGTACTTTCTCTTTCACGTTTCCGTACCGCGAGTTTCATAGCAGCCCACCTCACCTCACTACCAACCGTCTCACGTCGCAAGAGTGAGTGTCCATCAGTCATTCAGGGATGGTGATTAAGCTAAACCTTCCATCCCCTATCCGTAGAGTTCCAAAAAAAAAAACCTTTTAGTAAAAGTCAACCAGTTATGTCCGTGATCGCTTACCTTTTTGCTGCTACCACACAACTGAAAGGCTGAGCGTGCCGCACCACGCTCTTTTATAGTCGCGATCACCATCGCTATCCCATTACAAAGTTGCTTTGACTTGCCTATGTGTTACGATGCTACTCTTACATATCTATCCCTACGTGTGGTAACTTGCGTCTGATCGAACATTTTGCATTTACTAATACTATCTTAGGTGCCGACTCGTATGATCTTATTGCTAGTGTTGGCTTGTATGCCATTTGTTTTACCGCTACTCGGTATGATTCTGTACAACGCTAACCCAGGTACCGAATCGTATGATTTGGTAACCGTTAGATGTGTGAATGCTAGTCTCGCTATGACTTTTACAGTTTGTCAGGACCGTTAGTTCTGTACTCGCAATATGTTTCCTTAGGCAAAAAAATTATGTCATCTATGTTCTACTTTATGTACATTTATAGGTTTTATACATTTGTATAAGTTTTATACATTTGTATACGTTTCATACATTTGTACATCTTTCCTAGCTGGGAATTGGCAATTCGAAATAAAGTAAATTCGAAATTTGACGAAATCGAAAGGAGCCGAATTAGTAGTTTGGCGAATTTGTAGCTACGCGCACTTATCGTTAGACAACTTTAAAGTTTTTTGAATTTGGATTAACACAAATATTAATTCACAATTAATTAATTCAAAGTTACACGAACTTCGTCAATTCCAATCGACGACTGGTTGCATATAAAGTAAAACAAAATTTGCTTTAAAATGAAACTAAAACGCCTTCCTTCCTAAGACTTTGCTTTTCAAACTTGCTGTGCGGCTGGCTCCTTTAGATTTCATCCGTTACAATTTCAACTGCGTTCTCAAAATAAAACCCTCTAATGACCATCGAGTTGTTTCTATCACATTTTCATTTATTATTTGGTTTGTTTTTTTTTTGATTAGGTTCGATAAGAAACGCCGAGCAAAAAAAACAAGCAATTGCTTTGAAGGAACTGCCTCCGTTTAATTCTTAAAATATTGGAGAAAAAAAAAATGCTGTATACTTTAAGGCTGACGTAAATAATAAACATTTAAAAAAACAATTTTTTTAAATAAACTTTTATTTAAACGGACCGAAAAGTGCAGCATGAAGTTTGTGCGGCTCATTTTTGTGTGTATATGTAAAAGCAGGCGACGCCTAAAATTTTGTTATGTAAAAATTGCGATTTTTGCTTTTCCTAATTTTTATGTATAATCGCATATGAACGGTTCAAAAAAAATTTCGTTTTTTACCTTTGAGTTCAGAAATGGAAGCTAATATTAGATGACTTTTATACTCTACCCCGCTTATGATACAAGGATATATATATTAAATTTATATCCAAGTATGCAACAACTCCCGATCAAAATTTGATGTCTTTCAATGTATTTTTCTCTATCTAATCTTATCTGTCCGTCTGTCCGTCTGTCCGTATGTGTTCAACTTACAGGTCCCAATTTTCGAGTTATTTTAATGAAATTTATTACATTAATCTGTTCTGGCCCCAACACGAACGTTATTGGAAATGGTTAGCACCCGACCCTATTTGCGACCGCTTTCCATACAAATCCTTATTTTGATAAGTTGTTACATGAAAAAATTGTATAATTTTCTGAATTTCTTTTTTCAACCTCCTGCGATATAACTGTTCTTACGGAAACTGAATGTTCATGTGGCAAAAAAAAACTGATTTTCAATATTTTACAATGAAAAGTCGCTCATGGCAATCACGAACGTAGGTCTACTTTGTGATTTTCAACCCACTTAAGGGTTCTAAGGAAAAATGAGGCATAGCATAACTATCTAGTATTAGCTTTGATTTTCGTAAGAAAGTAATTGAAAGTATAAAACTACCTTATGCTACCCTGTATTTCAATTTCCGACTTTTTGGAAACATCCTGATGCATATATTAAAACCGATACGGTATTAATTCATAATGTTGTGTTATTTTTATGAAAAATTAAAAATGAAACAAACATAAATATATCCTCTTTTGTTTCGCTCAAAAAAAAAATGAATGATGAAAGCGAAAATTAATATATAGAACAATGAATATAATGCATATTGAAATAAACGATAAAAGACATAATTTCGCAACCATTCAAACCTGTACACATGAATGAATATATTGCCTTAAATTTTTTTCTTCAGGCTCTGTCGTGGCTTTATAAGGTGACAAACAGACTAAAGAAAATGAAGAAGAAAATTTAACTAGATACGGTAGCGGAGCAGAGAGAGAGAGAGAACAACAGAAAAAGCGAGCAAACACTAAAGAGGTAAATGGATAATGACCGGAAAACAAAATGTTGATATCTCAATAACAAAAGACGACGTTATGCGTATATAAAAATGCATACGATAGCAGTATGCCTTTAATGCATACATACTTACAATGCAATATTAAAAGCATCAAAAGAACCATGCACATGCACACACAACAATTACCGTGAAATCGATTCGCAGTAAAAATGAAAAAAAAAAAAAAAAAAACAATTTAATTTCAAAAAGATTAAAAAAAACATAAAAGTAAACATATATTTGGATATAAAGATATTTGCGTAAAGATGAACATATATAGAATATATATGTAGGACATACATACAGGCATGCTTATCCTGGCATATAAATTACTTTTTGCTTTCCTCTTTCCTCTATCTATACCGTACCCTTTCATTCTTAAATCTCCATCAACATACCGCACCGAACGTAATATATCGAGATTTCTTTACATCGTTGTTCACCTTTTAACCCTGGTTGACCAACGACCTACGTAAGTAAATATTTTACTTAATTCGTAATAAACAAATATATTATACGTGTAAAAAATAAAATTGTCTAGGTCTTGTTGAAAGAGAAAAAAAGAAAAAAAACGAAGGAGGAATTATAGGACGGCTTGGCTTGGCAATACTTGGAATGGAAAAGAAATTGCATTCAACATTTCTCATCTTTCTTGTCTTTAGCATGTTTACTTTTCGTTCTGTACTTTATTGCATAAAAGAAACCAAGATTTTTAAACTGTTTTACTTTTAATTGCTTATAAATAAATTAACATAAAGCGCCGCAATCTTTTTAAATTTTGCATTTATTTTCATTTTATCTTTTATACCTTAAAAATTTTACATTACTATAACAATAATAATAATGGTCGGGTCAGAAGTGGTCGGGGGTATACCGATGATATGGTAAGGTACTTGTCGATATTATTTTCTCTTTGCCTTTTAATTCAACTTGCTCGTTCGCCGGTAACTTATCGATAGTTTGCAATATAAATTTTACAGTACGAGCAGATTGTGTTATTAAGCCATTATACCAAGCCGTTGTTGTCGATGATGCCCTTCTCTGATCATCGCCATCATCATCATCATCATCATTATCATCTTTATTGTCCACAAAATCCAGATTACTAACAGCAGACAAAGAACGTCCACCACCCAAATAATCAACATAATCGTAATCGCTTACTAAAGGATTAACTTTCGAATAGTAAATGGCCGCGAATGTCGAGTATATTATTAACAAGGCTGTGCCGACCTAAAATGCAAAAACCAACAACAAGAAATGATAATAACAAGAAAAATGAATAAAAAGAAAAAAGAAGCATAAAAATAAACATAAAAGTATTTTACACTTATGCGTCGTCTGACTGAATGTATTTTATGTTGTTTTCTTTCATGTTGTGCTCGTTTCACTTGTTTATTATCTACCCGCTGACATTTAACAGCTATCATTTACCCTTACAGAGTAACATATCAACATATCATGAACAGCAGTACCACCAGAAGCGGTAGCATCAAACTCCATTGTTATAAAAGAAAAAGTATAATTTGTCTTACTTGAGTTACACAAACAAACGCACTCATACCTTTAGAAAGGTATTTCATAACAAAGAGGAGAAGTCTGTTAAAAAAATTATAGTGTTGACAGCTGTCAAAATATGCAACAACTACAAATGCACAAATGCAAATACATATATATATATATATATATATATATATATGCCTATACAAACACACATAGATACATAGATATGTATATATAAATAAATATATAGCTGTATGTTTATATGTATATAAACATATATATCTATTGTATGACGTATATGTATATATAATTATTGTTCGCGTGTCAAAAAGGAATGCAAGTGGCAATCAGCAGCCAGCAAACAAGCAAATCTTTACCTGTACGGATATATATATGTATGTATATTTGTATACACAGTAACAACAATAACAAGTTGACAACACAACCACGAAAATAATTATTACTGTAACACATTGCGGATGATATGGTTTGTTGCTGTCGCCGCTGCTACTGTTTGCCTGTAATATAACAGTTCAACATCAGGTGATGGTGGTTGTATATATATATATATATATATATGTATATATATGTATATATATATATATGTTTGCAATTTTTTTATAACCATTACTGGAAGCGTACTAAATTTGTCAATTACTTATAACGCAACAATGATTAAACCTAATAGTCTTTACAACTTGATGAATTTTTGATTAAAATGAATTGCGTTACTAAATTAATCAGGTCAACGAAACCATTTCATAATCTCTAGCGTACCTTAAACTTCTTATTTAATGTTTAAATTGCTGTCTTAGCTGCAAGTCATCGAAAATCTTTCTCTATTCTATCTTAATCACGCTCGGATCCTAACTATTGCTGACATATGTCTGCTTTAAATTTTTATTTTGTAATAAATGCTCAGCTCAAATAAGTCGACTAAAACTGAATATATTTTCTTTTTTTCCTATTTTTTTCTTCTTTTTTTTGTTTACTTTTTTTTTTTTTATTCACACTCGACACTTGACACCTGACACTATTTTTTACTTAAGCCAAGTCACAAATCACAGTTGACCATAACTTACATATGGATGTACCTGGAGGAATGTTTTTTATATGCACATTTTCCGCTGTCTCTCACCTATGGTTTTAAAAATGGTTAACAATATTTTTTCTGATTCGAATTTCTGCTTACGCATTGTTTAGAAAATATATGTTTTCAAAAGTTTGTAAACAATTTTTATGAACTCTGCATACCTACCAGAAATAAAGAGTTTTAGTTTAACAAGACTTACTTGAAAAGCGGCCCAAAACTTGTATGAACCTTCAGTGATGACAAAATCATAATAGCCCTTTAAAGGATCGCCTTTTATGTAACGAGCTTGGGCTTCGTTCTCTTTATCTTTAGTTCCGTAACTCCTTTTACTTAAGTTCTCCACGTCTCCGCGTAACATTTTATCACCTTTCATCCCTTTCTCTTTCCTAGGCTCTACCTTAGCCAAGGGTTCTTTTACTTGCAAAGCCGTATCGACTGCGTCCGTTTTGATGGCAGTCTTGTTGTTTAATTTATTTTGTTGTTGTTTATTATTTTTATTTATACCAAAATTGGCAGGCTTTTTCGAGTTAATTCTTGTCTTTTGTTGTGTTTGCTGCTCTTTCTTAAATTCTTGTTGTTTATACTGTTGCTCAGCCATAGAATTCCAAACGGTTATGAACGACTTATATAAATCCAATAGGGTTTTCAAAGTTTTCAAGACACTAACCCAAGTGGACTCGGCAGGTTGTTTTGGCGTAACATTAGCAACGGGATACGAATTTGCCTTCGCATCCGGCTGACGACTATAGTAATCATAATAGTCCTCGTAAGAAAGAGGAGACGGAGGATTTCTGTCAACAAAATATTTTATAAAAAAATTAAATAATAAATTAGAGGAGATAAATAGTTATAATTAAAATCCGGTCCAATGAGTTTTAGGAAGCTTTTGTCCTGTCTGTGTAAAGTTTTATATCGAAAACTTCAATCTTCGGATTGAACACCAAAAACCATCGACAAACATACATATGGTTCTCAATAGATTGGTATAATACAAGGTAGGATCATATCGAATAGTCGTATACGCAAGCTTAATACACTCTTGCCACGAATTATGTAAGGTACAAAAAGCCACATTCATATGCATCCGCAGGCAATAATATGCACAATTATACATTTAAAAATGTCAAAGCAAGCGAATACTTCAAGAGAGCGAGAGGGAGAGTTTACCTCGCTTTGTGGTTATTTTAAATGTGATATAAATAACTTCGCACCTAAAGTGAATTTTAATTTTAATTAATAAAATTTGAAGAATTTATATAGACAATGAGGTGTGGCCAGAAAAAAATATATTCATAAAATTTCAACGTATACGCTACGCAACGTATATCTCTTTTTCCTCATGGTAATAATAATAGTTAGGTCTATAGCAGATCTATCAATTCCACGTCTTCTCAAATAAAAACTCTGGCGTAAAGCGGTAGCTTACGACATCGTAGTCGCTACATTACCCAATGCTATATGGCGGCATTTACTTGGAAATCCATTAAAACTTATTTGCAAACTTACTATCTTACTTACTTACTTACTTACTAATATGATATGAAGAAAATATGGAAAAGAGAAAGAAAAAGGAGAAGTAAAGTGAGAATTCTTAGATTTCTTTGAAAAATGCATTCAACATTTTCTTCCTCTCTAAAACCGTTCCTTTAAAAATTAATATGAAAAAGCCATATTATCCAAAAATCACATAAAATGAAATGTTAAACTTAATGATCCCAACAAAACAAAATTAATGAAAACCGTAAAACATCAGATATATATATATATATATATATATATATGGCAATTATATGTAGATAAAGAATTTTATTAGTAACTTTTCACATCTTAAACTTTGAAATGTTTAACTGTAATTGCTATGAATGATGTCATGCACAACTGATCATTTAATTTTATGAGCTAATAAACTTAAAAAAACTTAATGACGCCATATGTTTTGCAAAAGAAACATGAAACATGAAAGAAGTCAGTAAGAGTCGGTGAATGGCTCGCATTACTGTGTTTTATAGTTTTTAACTAAGTTCGATAAAAATGTCAGCATCTTTGGTAAGTTTATACCAAAGAGCGTACTCCACACTGTTCATATGAAACACCTAATAATAAAGCAAGGATCGAATTAGCCATAAAGTAATAAGTGATCTGCCCTAAAACTCTCTGTGTACGGACATAAAATTTCTAAGTTGTAAGGATCGTAAATTACTGAAAAATCAGTTCTATTATTAAAGATGAATTTCTGTGGGAAATGTCAAAAATCTATGGCAATGGAAGAGCTTTAGCAAGTCTTTGCTGATTCCCTTTTTTTGCGACATATTAGCTATACTTTCTCATGAAAGAAAAGCTAAGCATTAGTCTGCTCTTTGACGTAACACGGAGTCAATTGTAGCCAATTTACGATTCAGTAAAGGGTTTACATCAAGAACGCACGAAGTTTTCAAAATGTTGTTTACCAAACGTTCACTAATAAGCTTAGATAAGCAATCTGCACTGTGGAGTTGCTAATGAAGACATGTCTCAGATAGGTAATGTGCACTTTTGAGGTGCTAATGCGGCTATTCCTGGATATTGCATGTCCTTTTCTGCGAATATACATGTCCTTTGCATATATATATATATATATATGTATACATATGATGTTAACTATTGAAAATATATGTAATTCAGTAAAAGTCGTATCAACTAATAGAACTTAGTGTGTTAGTTCTTAATGCTTAATGGCCAAAAAAGAGTATTATAAAATGAAAAACAAATAAAATAAAACATATATGTATATAGAGAAATTAAACAAAAATAAATTACTTTAAACATAAATCATATGAAAATAATTTTTATATTATAAGAGTTTTACTTTATTGCTTTTTTCTTGATTCGATTTTGATAACGCATTCATTTATATCAAGAAAGCCTGTCTGTCGTCTTTCAATACATAAATCATCAAGTATGAAAACTGGGTTATGATATGGTTGCAAATGTGTATATGTATGACTTCGACGATATGTACATATGTACAAAAACCATTATTCAAGTTTCATTACTTCCTTGCTTTGACTAATTTGCCTTAACATGCACTTCCTTTATATCAATTTCACTCTTGGCTGAGCGTCTGAATAATTGAGTACCACAGCTACAACAGTCTACTATGAGCGTAAGTCATATAAATTTACAAAAAGCGCGGTTTTTATTTTCAAACTTTAAAAAGAAAAGAAAGTTAAATTGAATTTATTTAACTCAAACACTTTGCTTTTGAACTACATATATATAAAAAAACATGCGAGAAAACTTTATTGATTAGAAATGTATGCAAATTTTTGATTGTGTGTATGCATTGCTGTGCTTTTATTTGCTTAAGTATGAAGAAACAAATACATGCAAATGTACGATTACTTGAAATGTCTTTACTTTTCATAAGATGCTAAAGAGGTATTTTTTACGAGTTTTGCAGTAAGCTAGAGTTTCATGGAATTAAGAAAAAACGAAAGATTTACTTCGTTTATATAATCCTATAATTAAAAATGATGTATAGAAATTCATGGATTAGTTCAAATTATTGCTATAGGCACTCACTCATATGCTTTATATTCATATTTGAATAGAATTTTTTTTCATTTACTTATCGCCTAAGGAGAGCAGTATACAAGTTTTGTTCTTTCATTTCTAACAATCAGAAATATAGACATTCACATAGGTTTTTTTTTTTTTATATATTTGTCGCCGAAGGAGAACAGCATACGGGTTTTCTTCTTCTTTCAATATGAAATGTAAGCCGTAGGAAGTTATATTTTTCATAATAAAGTTTGAACTAGAAACTCGAAACTTAAATTACTTCTTCATATCTATTAAAAAAAAGTAAAAAAATAAAAAAAATGAGAAAAAACTGTAAAGTAAGACATATATACACGTAATTCTATTTTTACACGAATTTTTATTTAACGCAAATTGTCTTGTTTTAACACGATTTTCAATATTTTATGAATTATTTTTATGAATATTTTTAATGAATTTTTCTAAATAATTCTTTTTTTTTTTTTTTAATTTTTTCATTCTCACTCCTCACACATATGTATCGTAACTTTGCGTTATATTATACTATATGCGTATATGCAAAGGATTCCCCGAAGGTGTAATGTATTTTTTACTCATTTTAGTTTGGTTTCATAATACATTTAATGTAATAAAATGTGTAAAAATGAAATAAGTTCTTAAGATAAGAATTTTTGGGCTAAGAAATTATTAAAATATTGTTTATTGTACTTTTTAGTTGCTTTTTTATAGGTCTATTATTCTTCCATTCAGGCAGTGCCTTACTTACACGAATTTTTTGGAGGCATATCTGTCGTGTGAAAAGAGAATTACATGTGTATATTTTCAAGAAAAAAGATTTTCTTAGTTACCGATGTATTATAAAACATATCAACTCTTCCAAAATGCAAAATATCTATTGTTTAGTTCAAAAGCATATGTTTTATTAAGATGAGTAATTTTTAGGTTATCTATCATAAAGGAGTCATTTGAAATTTTTTCGTCAGTTCCCTGACAAACATTTATCAAAAAAAGAAACACTTTTTGATGTAGTATGCATCAAAGAATCGCTTTGAGGTGTTTTTGCTTACTTTCCTTCTTTCTAATTAACAAGGAGCTCTCCTTTTTATCAAACCAAAATTATTGTAAAGCAATCACTAGAAACTTTTATTCCTGGAATAATATATCTCTCTGCACATGTTATTCTTTTTCGACAATTTTGGTTTTTTTTTCTTTTTCCTTTGTTTTTGCACAAACATAACAAAAATACAAATACAGCAACAACAACGCAATATGAACATGAAATCTGTCTAAATTTATCTTTAGGAACAATTTTAATGTAAGCAAATAAATTTTATTTTCCCTCTTCATCTTCCCGCCTTTCATCTCATTCTCTTACTCGTTCTCCTTACGTTATATATATATATATATATATATATGCTTATTCACAAAAAGCCATTACCAAATTTATAAACTATCACTTCTGATATATATATATATATATATATATGTAGAACATAAGGAATCAGAGTATAAAACTAGATTTCATTTTTGCTGTTGTTATAGTTGTTGTTTACATAGTTAAATTGCCTATAAATTCTTCTCACAAAAGCTTAACATGGTGCACATACAGAAGAGTTGGAAATCTCTAGAAAAAGCAAAATCTATGTTGGCATGTTATGTAGGCGTGTACGTCTGTATTTGAATAAAACACAATTTGAAAGTTAAATAAACAGCATTTACATAAATATTCAAATGTTTGTTAGCTTGTATGTGTCTGTGTGTGTGTGTGTGTGTGTGTGTGTGTGAATGTATAAGCGTGTTTGTAAATACTTAGTATTTATATACAGATAAGTGATAAAGAGCTTTCCTTTAGCAAATAACTGTTAAATAACTCAACACACTTACTTATATAGGTACTTATATTACAAATAATTTAGTAACAATTTCATTTTGTAAATATTTGCTCAGAGATTAGTTGAGATTTCCATTTTTTTAAGGAAACGTTTCACTATAAGCCGACACACACTTGCTGGGAAACCAAAAACAAAATTAAAATCCATCATGTATTTGACTATAAGTAACGTTACTCATACGTTCCGTAGTATGCGTTTTTATTTTATACAATTGCTATGAATTAGTCATTGATCTGTTTACTTTGCCATTGCTGGCGGCATTATTATTCTTGTCGTTTAAATCTTTATAAAAAATCAATTATGCAGTTTCCTTGGAAAACCAATAAAAATGTAAAGTTTAACTGACTTGAATTTTTCTT